TATATATATATATATATATATATATATATATATATATAATATACATACATATATATATATATGTATGTATGTATGTATGTATACAACGTGCCAACTCTCCCGGCGTGTAACTGAAGTAAAGCCAGGTTGGTGCCCTCGCTAGGGTGAACGAACGGATACGCTCAGGCAAAAGCGAACCCATGTGCCTCCTCCTTCACTGCCATCACCACCTCCTCCTCCTCTAGCAATAACGTTCTCCTCCTCCTTTTCCTCCCCGGAGATCGGACGGAGATCGTCAAAGCGGACTCGCAAGGCGAAAAATGCAAAAATCGACTGCGCGCCAATAGGAATTTCGTGGAGTCGCGATCTTCGGCGCGATCGAACGCGAGCCTTTCGTTTGCGAATATTAAATCATTTCGAACTGCGCGATATCGATCTACTATGTTCGGCGTGCTCGTGCCAACGCGCGATAAAGTCTCGCGCCGGTAATTCAGATAATTTAGCGTGATCGCATCGCTCCGATACGCGTTTCTATGTATCCTAAACAGAGTGCAATCAGAGCTGAGTGCTTCGCTTAATTGACTTGTTTATTATTACCCGTGCGAGCATTGTCTTAGATAATAGAGAAAATTGTATGCCTTTTGGTACAGGGAGAAATAATTAATACCAGTAAAATTGTTTATGATGTTGGAAAGAGCGCACCGATCGGTCTTCAATATTTGCGCGATTAATAATAGATCTTAAAATAATTCTTATAAATGCACCTCTATCAAAAGATTATATTTAATATTTAGTATCTCTATTTTTAGCGAGTTTGCAATTAATTTTTAATATATTTCAATAATTTTAGGGATACATTGTAAAATTGTAAAATTATGCGGTTTCAATTATAATAATGGCACATGATTGTTTTTTGAACAATCGTAAATTTCTTGCAATCTGAATACGCAACGAGAAAAATCATAAAGGGATTTTCGAAATAAGATGTAAATTCATTGCTATCAACCTCGTTTTCATCGAATTGTCTTTCAATCGTTTCGAGAAGAGTCCGAATGATAAGATAACTGTTAAAAAGCAAATATTTTTTTATCCAATGACTTTCCAAATATTTACACGATATTAAAAGAAATAGAGATAAATTAGATTTTCTCATAGAAATCTATGAATTTGTAAAATTAAAATTGATATTATCAGGATATTAAAATTGATTTAATAAGAATTGACATTCCCGATGATTGATTAGCATTTTATGCTTGATAACTTTAAACAATTCATGTAATTATTACTCCTTATTATTTCTGTTATTTGAATTTTATACATTCTATCTTTATATTTCTTTGAATTACATCAATTATTGTTCGATCTTGAAATTTTATATTAAAGCTGGAAATGTAATACATACATATACTACATACTCAACTAATAACTACATACTTAATAATATATAATTATAAAATTGTTAATTTAATATTAATGATGCTAATAAGCATTTTAGAAACTTATAAGTACTCTGACTGAAATAATACTTTTTGCAATAAATTTCTTGTAGATTTATAAGGTACTTATTAGTATCAATAATATTAAATTGATAAATATGAATATTTAATTGATTTAATGCGATATTATAATTCCAGTATAAAACTTTTCAATTTCGGATAATTGACGCGATTAAATGTAACAGCATTACATATTTCTATGCGTATAAAAAAATTAAGTTTATAAAAAATTATTACATATTCTATCTGATGATCAAAAATATTAATATTTATTTATATTATATGTTAAATACATGTTAAATATATTTCTATTTTATTTTACGCCAAATAATTAATAATTAATAATTAAAATTTGTATTATAAATAAGAAATATGTAAGAACAAAGTTGGTAAATATTTACCGTCTATTACAATATAATAGTAAAATAGTATTATTTAGATAATTTATTTAGATAGCTTTAATTCTTTTTGTATTTAAAATAATTTTATATTAGTCCTTCAGAAGAATAGTAGTATTTTTTTAATAACAAAATAAGCTTTTGCTTTTGATAAATATTAATATGTTAATTGCTCTAGTTACTTTATATTTTAATTGCTTGTATTTACTTTATTATCCGTAATTTAAGAATGGATTGTTGAGAATCTATCATCGCTGCTTCCAGTAATCAAAGAACGTTGCTACGGTATTTACGCGTATTATATTCTTATTATATCTCTAGGCATATTAATATCTTTAGCTGTTCCAAAGTAAATTTATGTTCCGGACAGGGGAAGATAAATTGCGGATTTTTTCTAGTTACACTCAGGGTTAGAATTCTACAATTTGCCTCGGACGATATTACGTTTCCAAAGACAGTTATGTACGCACAAAGTGCGTAAGCGTTTAGAATGCGCGCATAAATCTCGAGATTTATGAATCATGAGTTTCGCGGATGGTAATACCGTCTGGATTTATGAATTAATACCGGTCATATTAGACGTATAAATCTTGGCGTTTAGGCAGACGGAATCGTAGAATTATCCGACCGCCTCCTGGGTAATTCGTCGGTAGATTACTTCGTGCAGTCTTTATCACTTCCGAGAACACTTTTCTCGTGGTCTTTTTTTCTTTTAATCACAATATTTTGACGCTGTCATGTTTATTTAAATTAAATTTCATTAAAATGAAATACAAATAAATATACAAGAAATATTTTTTTATCAGATTTAACAATCTTGTATATAAATTGTAATTGATACAAGTAACTTGTCTAAACAAATATAGCTGACCTTTTCTAACTCGAAAACTTTTATAATTCGAATTTTTTAATTCATTCTCTAGAAAAAACTTCTGTCGAAGAGAAAAAAAATAGGAAGAAATTAATTTGAAATATTTACGAGCGTATTAATTATCTCTATACTCTCAAATTATTTTAAAATTGATTTGTATTATTTCGAAAAGAACCTTTATAACACGAAGGATATAAAATTTCTACTTGAAATATATTATGAAAGAGAGTTTGCATTAATACTTCTTTTTCCTCTCACATACAAATAGCTTAAAACAGTATAATAAATAAACATTTCACTTATTGTAAATTCAATATATTCTTTGAAATATAATATTTAATTTATAATATAAAATCTTTTTTTAAGTTATTAAATTATAGATATTGAGTTAAAATGTATATTTTAACTTAATTTTAATATATATTATATATATCATCAGTAAAAAATATGTGATAGTGATTATTAAATTGTGTTTGAACTTCTGTAAATAAAATTTTTTTCTTTAAACTTCTGCACATAATTCGAATTGTTACCTTGGCATTTAAGTTTGGCTCAACTGTTAAAAATATATAAAAATGTCTAATATCTCGAGATAAAATATTTCGTGCGCAGTGAAGCCTCTTAGAAGGAAATAACTTGACAACGATAATGATCGAACTCAGGGACAGTTCTACAAGCTTTTTGCGCTGATCCAATAATAACTAGTAATAAGAAGAAATAATAAATAATAATAAAGAAGAAATAATAAATAATAATAAAACGAAAGCCGTTAATCTACACGTATTCATTTACCAGTCGAGGTCGTCTAATTATTTCGCTTCCGGACGAAACGCATTTGCTCAAAAATTTAGGAATATCTATTTGTGTACGTGGGAAGAGAGGGTTTCTCGATGGTTGCCATGTGATTCACTACGCTAATGTCAACTTGACCTACTGGCCTACATGCAGGTCGATCCGAGTTCTTTATCCAAGGTCTTCGGGCGATACCCTTCTTTGCTGTTCTCACATTGCTTTTCTCCGACAGAAAAGCAAGACGGCGCACAGGAAAAAGACAGAGGTTGAAAATCGTATTTATCGCATATAAATAGAGTTGTTAACTATAATTTTAAAATTGTTTTTGTAAAAAATAAGAAATATAGATTTCTGCCGAGAATTTGTGAACAA